CCCTCAGTAAGTCCCAGCCCTCACCTTGCCAGTGCACTGGACGGGCAGGACATAGGGGCTGTACTTCACCATTTGAAGACTCTCCATGGTCACATTCTTGGGAGGCTAAAAATAAAACCCACATTGGTCAGTAATTTTGTAAATAACTTTTTAAAATTTTCTGAAGCCCAAACAAGTACACCTGGGGGTGGTGGATGAATGAGTGCCAGGGATCTCAGAAAGGCCGCCACCCAATGACATCAAAGGCCTGTGCTTCGTGAGCACCGTCAGGTGGGGCCAGCCCAGCACTAAGTGGATCTTCCCCGGGACCACCAGGCGGCTACTCCAGGCTGGGAAACGGCCCCGGGAAAGCATCCCTCGCCCGCTAAGACAGAGGGACAGAGGTTGGCATTTGTTTTTATGGAACTTGGGCTTTCCTCTCGAGCCGTGAGGAAATAATGCTCTCCCCCTCCCGCATGCCCTCTCCCTCCCTCCCCTCCAGTGGGGGCACTGCCCGGGGGCATTCCCGCTGTGAGGGACGCCCAGTCTGCACACAGGTGGGGGGCCCTGCCCTGAATGGCGGGGTCCAGGAGGGGTCCATCGTTGAAGGGACCCACGCACACTTTGAAAATGACTCCTTCCCTGACACGAGAGGCACACGCAGCCTCGCATGCGGTCGGACAGAAAGGGCAGCCCCTGTATTGTACGGCACTAATGCTCTGGCCTAGCCTCTGCGTGAGGCCAGAAAGGAATGATCTAGATTGGACTCTCGGAACTCCCTGCCAGCAATCCCTGCAACGTTAAAAACAGGAAGGCCGAACTGGTGAACAGACGGGCCGGGTTCCAGAAGCGAAGTGAGTGTTGGTCATGACTCAGTTGCACTGCAATCGATCCCATCAGGACGAACACTGCACTTGGGGCCGCGGTGCCCACGCGGGCACCCGTGCTTATGGGGGAAGGGCAGCATTAGCTGTTCATGAGAGAATAAGGCCCCTCGTTAAATAAAAGCAGAGGCACCTGCCATCCCTCGGGGACCTCAGGCGGCCCCCATCGGAGGCGCAAGCCAACAGCACGGTCATCAACTTCAACTCAGACCGTATTCAACTGTAATTCTGCAAGGGAATCTTCGTTCAGGAAAATAAATTGTTCTTTCAGATTACCGTTCGTTTTTAAAAATACCTGGGCTCCAAAAGTACCAAAACCAGCATACGGCTCTCTGCGCAGGTAGCTTGTAAATTTAAAAACATCCTTTCCTATGTCTACTCTGAAAGAGTTCACGCTATGAACGCTGTTCTCTGGGCTGAGTACAGGGTGGAGAACGGTCACCCGCCTACCCGGGAGCCCACCCGGCCCCTCGGAACCGCTGCAGAGAGCGAGAGCAAGAAGCTGCGGAACTCATGGTGGGCGCACAGGTTTTTATGCTGCTCTACGGGCTGCGCTTCAAAAACCCTGGCGGGTGTCCTCTAACACCACCTCAGCTCCCTGCGCACCCGTCACTGCTCCTCGCCCCACGCGGCCCATCTGCGCTGGGAGGAGCGGGACTTGCCTTGGGTTTGAAGCCCAGGATGCGGTTGAGCTTTATGATGACACAGGGCTTGCCCTCCTTGTAGCCGAACGACTCGTCATTTATTCCGGAGCAGTTGCCCAGCCACTCGAGCTTGAACCTGCAGACCTTCCGCTCACCGGGGTCACTGTCGTAGGCGCCTCGGTCTTTGAAGTCGCTGGGCACACCTGCAAATGCAAGCGCCTGGTCACCCTGTCCCCCACCGCCCTCCCCGGCTCAGCGGCTGCTCTGCCCGGAACGCAGTGTCTGGGTGCAGCCAGGTTGCCAGCACACCGGTGCCGGCACAGAACCCCCACCAGGGCCCTGGCGTGCTCGGTAAGCAGCTCCTGACAGCTGGTCTCTGGCAATATTTCTCCGCCTTAAATAATGGATGACTCAGCTGTCGGGAGGCTGCAGGGAAACTGGATCGCCCGTCACAGCGCAGCCCGCGGAGGAGGGCAGCACGGTTAGAACCCAGGCAAAGAGGGTCCCGTCACCATCACCGGCAGGACCGGGAGGCCTGGGTCAGGACTTCCTGGGGCTGTGCCTCTGATTCGCAGGTTGAACAGGAAAGAGGGAAAGGATTGGTTTGCTTCCTTTTCACATTCAAGGTTTTCTAAAAATGTTCTTTCGGATTTGAGTTCTTTGCCTTTCATAGCTGTGTGTTCTTATAAATTCATTCAAATGAGAAGTTTAGTTGGAGCATTTTTTATTATGCCTCATACCAAACCCAGAGTAAGAAGAAAAGAAACGCAGATTTCAAAGTCGATACAAAACATCCTGCAGAATACTGAGGCAAATGTAATTTCTATTGACTTTCAAGGTCACAAATGAACTGTCTTCCCTTCCAACGGTAACGTGCCTCAGTTCACTCCATCAGTAACTTAAAGTTACTGCAAAGTGAGATGAAAACCTTTAAGTTCTGAAGAGAAAGACGTGGTGAAATGTTCCTTTTAAACGAGGGAATCTTTCCTAAAGGACTTACTAGGGCTTTCACCCTCATTGTGAGGAGGGGACCCCCTGCAGGCAAAGGCGGACTGCTCGGTGCTGGGGTGGGAGGGAAGGACTGGCGTGGCGGCACCAGCCCAGAGGTGTCCTGTCTGGTGGGGAGCCCGGTGGAGTCACGGATGGTCCCACCAAAGGGTCACTCGGGAGGAAGGCCCGGTGCGCCTCCGAGGAGCGAGCCTGGGGGAGGGCGGGAATCTGGAAATACGGGCAACTGCACTTCTCAAAAGCCATGGGCACCGGGGCCAGAGCGGACCTGTGGCTGTGGGTCTGAGCAGTCAAAAGCAGATCATCTAGGTTCGTGGTCGGCAAACCGCGGCTCGCGAGCCACATGCGGCTCTTTGGCCCCTTGAGTGTGGCTCTTCCACAAAATACCGACTTCTGCGTATGGGCCACAAAGTTTCAAATGCACTGTATGTGCACACCCGCACGTGGTATTTTGTGGTATTTTGTGGAAGAGCCACACTCAAGGGGCCAAAGAGCCGCATGTGGCTCGAGAGCCGCAGTTTGCCGACCACAGGTCTAGGTTTTTAAAGACATCTTTCAATGCAGTAGTAACACTCGAGGATACATTGTTTCTTCCACTGCACCCAAGCCTGAACCATAAAACACTCCCTGCTTTAGAAACACACAAAATGGCCCTGGCCTGGTTGCTCTGTTGGCTGGAGCGTCATCCCGTACCCCAAAAGGTTGTGGGTTCGATTCCCGATCAGGGCACATGCCCAGGTGCGGGTTCAATCCCCAGTGGTTGGAGCAACCAATCAATGTTCCTTGCTCACATCCATGTCTCTCTTCACCCCTTCCCCTCTCTCTCTCTAGAAGAAATCAATTTTTAAAAATGGCCCCTCAGTATGACCAGGGGGCAATCTTTAATTATCCCAGGAGTGTCGTTCAATAGTAGAAATGGGGATGGAATGAACCCACCACAGCAGCCAGAGCGAGTGACTTACTGCCACAGTCTTCAAAAATCATGTCGTCCTTCTGCGCCAAGTCCTTGTACTTCTCCAGGAAGCGGACGATGTTCAGCACGTACGGCTCGTAGCTCTCGGGCTTGGTGGGGTGGAAGGAGATCTCGGTCTTTTGGATCTGAGGAACCTGTGTGAGTCCTGCACCAGGCAGAGGCACAAACAGAGACGATCACCAGCAAGAAGCAAGTCAACCGAGAGCATCCACAGCAGACGCTCCGCGAACAAACACGGCTCAGCCCACCTGCCTAAAGGGGACGGGTCCGATTCTCCACGCGTGAAACCCCTTGGCATCAGAGTAACGTCACAGTTCATGACAGGCGTTATCTCCACGTAATGCATGAAAGCACTTCTTGCACAGAGAGGTTAAGCACCTGGCCCAAGGTCACAGAGGAAGCGGCGGGACCAGAATTCCCACCCAACCACGCCGCATCCAAAGCCTGTCACCTGCCCAGCGGTCCCTCGTGCGCACGTGCCACACCTGCTCGGTCTGCGCAGGTGCCCTCCCGCCTCACTGCCGGCCCTGAGCCCACAGGGCTCCCCCTGTCAGTGAGGTCAGGCCACTCCAAGCCTACAAGACTCAAGACTCCCCCACAGACATTCCTCCGGCTCTCACCCTGAACTGGAGGGTGGGGATGGATGTGAGGGACCTGCTTTCCATTCTGAAGTAAATAGTTATTCTGAGCAGGCGCACTGCCAGCCAGGGTAAAGGTCTCAGCATGCACACCCTGGGCTCCACGCTTCACCCGGGTCTTAGATTCTGTAATTTCCGGAAGATTCTGCCATCACAGACTGCTAGACAGATGTGTGCACAGCAGTGCACGGCCCTCCCAGGGGCGACGGGGGGTGCCCATCACAGTGGAATTCTGTCCCAGATGCAGGTGAATGCAAGATGCCTGGCCACACCAGAAATCCAGATAACCCACAAGGAACTTTTATATAAGCATGGCCCACATGCTACATGGACACGCACGACAGGGGACATGTACTGCATATATTATCTGGGACACTCACCTAAAAGATCACCTGTAACTGATCTTTAGCTCAAATGTAGTTGCACCTCCCGTATTTTTATTTGCTCATCCGGCAACCCTACTCTAGTCCCCAGTCCCAGATCTGCCCTCTGTGCCAGGCGGACAGCGCACGGCCACCTTCCTCAGGGCACCACGCAGACATGAACACAGTGACGTGACTGAAGCAGAAGTGACCACGGGGTGCGGCTATTTTTCTAGCCCTTGAGGATGGCGTTGAGCTTCGAGGTGGGGCTGAGAAGGCCCGGTGTGGGGCTGGCTGGGCCACGCTTCCCCCACGCGCAGCTCCCCAGGGGGGAGGGGGGGTGGCTGAGACAGACTCCTCCAGGAGTGACATCAGGAATCTTTAAAAGGCTGATGCAGAATCTGAAGAACCGGGGACGAGGCTGTCAACGGGAGGGAGGGAGTCTAGGGGAAGTCACAGAGCTCGCTCATAAAAACAAAATGTTTTCAGTCTTTGCTTAAAAATAAAGGAAGGTTACTACAACTGAGATGATTTTTAGGCCCTGGCCAGTGGCTCAGTTGGTTAGAACTGTGGTCGGCAAACTGCGGCTCGTGAGCCACATGCGGCTCTTTGGCCCCTTGAGTGTGGCTCTTCCTAAGCCTTAGGAGTATCCTAATTAAGTTAATAACAATGTACCTACCTATATAGTTTAAGTTTAAAAAATTTGGCTCTCAAAAGAAATTTCAATCGTTGTACTGTTGATATTTGGCTCTGTTGACTAATGAGTTTGCCGACCACTG